GGGCCGGGCTCAGTCCCCAGCTCAGGATCCCTTTGGTCCCGTATTCGTCACGCAGCAGCTCCGTCACTTTGGAGCCCACCCCGGAGAAACCACTCTGGAGGTCACAGAGCACCTGGAACCCCTGGGGACACGGGGACACAGGGACAGGGTGGGTGACACTGCGGGGAGGGGATTGGGGACACGGGGACACAGGGACAGGGTGGGTGACACTGCGGGGAGGGGATTGGGGACACGGGGACACAGGGACAGGGTGGGTGACACCGCGGGGAGGGGATTGGGGACACCGGGACATAGGGCCAGGGTGGGTGACACTGTGGGGAGGGGATTGGGGACACGGGAGGGGGCTGAGAGCCCCCTGAGGTGGTTCCTGAAAGGTTCCCAAAATCCCAGTGAGGTTCCTGCGAGCCCAGAGAGGTTCCCAAAAGCTCAAGGAGGTCCCCAAAAGCCTGGGGAGGTTCCCAAAATGTTCCTGAAGGGCCAGGGGGGTTCCTGTGAGCCCAGAGAGGTTCCTGAGGGCCTGGGGAGGTTCCCAAAATCCCAGGAAGCTTCCCACAAGCCCAGGGAGGTTCCTGAAAGGTTCCCAAAATCCCAGAGAGGTTTCTCAAAGGTTCCTGAAGGCCCAGAGAAGTTCTCAAAAGCCCCAAGAGGTTCCTGAAATGTTCCTGAAGGCCCAGGGAGCTCAGGGAAGCCAAGGGAGGTTCCTGAAAGCCCAGAGAGGTTCCCAAAAGCCCAGGAAGATTCCTGAAAAGTTCCTGAAAGGTTTCTGAAAGGTTTCTGAAAGGTTCCTGAAGGCCGAGGGAGGTCCCCAAAAGCCCAGAGAGGTCCCCAAAAGCCCAGGGAGGTTCCCAAAAGCCCAGAGAGGTTCCTGAAAGGTTCCTGAAAAGTTCCTGAAAGGTTCCTGAAGGCCAAGGGAGGTCCCCAAAAGCCCAGAGAGGCTCCCAAAAGCCCAGGGAGGTTCCTGAAAGATTCCTGAAAAGTTCCTGAAAAGTTCCTGAAAGGTTCCCGAAGGCCCAGAGAGGTCCCCAAAAGCCCAGAGAGGTTCCCCGAAGCCCAGGGAGGTTCCTGAAAAGTTCCTGAAAGGTTCCCAAGGCCCAGGGAGGTCCTCAAAAGCCCAGAGAGGTCCCCAAAAGCCCAGGGAAATTCCTGAAAGGTTCCTGAAAAGTTCCTGGAAGGTTTCTGAAAGGTTTCTGAAGGCCGAGGGAGGTCCCCAAAAGCCCAAGGAGGTTCCCAAAAGCCCAGGGAGATTCCTGAAAAGTTCCTGAAAAGTTCCTGAAAGGTTTCTGAAAGGTTCCTGAAAAGTTCCTGAAAGGTTTCTGAAAGGTTCCTGAAGGCTGGGGGAGGTCCCCAAAAGCCCAGAGAGGTTCCCAAAAGCCCAGAGAGGTTCCTGAGATGTTCCTGAAGGCCCAGGGAGCTCAGGGAAGCCCAGAGAGGTTCCTGAAGGCCCAGAGAAATTCCCAAAAGCCCAGGGAAGTTCCTAAAAGGTCCCTGAAAGGTTCCCGACAGGCTCCGAAGCAGCACCTGCAGGTGGTCGCACTCCTCGACGAAGAAGCGCAGCCGATCCTCCAGCTCGTCCCGACACGCCGGGTCCTGCAGGAGCCGCTCCCCCTGGCCAAAGGACTCCAGACCGCCGCAGTCACTGAGGGAAAAACGGGGAAAAATGGATTTATGGGATTTTTGTGATTCCTGGAGGCTCGGAGGGGCTCTCCGAGCGCCGGGCTGGGGTTTGGGGTCGTACCCATCGTGCAGGAACTGGCGGATCACCTGCAGGCTGCGGGGGTGCAGGGGAACACGGAGAAAATCACCCCAGAGACGGACGGGGAGAGCGGGGGGAGAGCCTGGGGAGAGAACGGGATCGGGATTGGGGAATGGGGAATGGGGAATGGGAATGGGAGAGGGATTGGGAATGGGAATGGGAAAGGGATTGGGATGGGAACGGGATTGGAATGGGAATGGGATGGGAATGGGAATGGGATTGGGATTGGGGAATGGGGGAGGGATTGGGATGGGAATGGGATGAGAATGGGGGAGAGAACGGGAATGGGAATGGGATGGGATGGGATGGGATGGGATGGGATGGGATGGGATGGGATGGGATGGGATGGGGAATGGGATTGGGGGCAGGAACGAGATGGGAATGGGAATGGAAATGGGAACAGGAATGGGAACGGAAATGGGAACAGGAACGGGAATGAGGTGGGAACAGGAACGGGATTATGGGAATGGGAATGGGATTGAGAATGGGAACGGGAATGGGAATGGGAATGGGACTGGGATCGGGAATGGGAACGGGATAGGGAATGGGAACGGGATTGGGAACGGGATTGGGAACGGGATTGGGAATGGGAACGGGATTGGGGGCGTAAATGGGGAATGGGAATGGGGACGGGAATGGGGAATGGGGAATGGGGATGGGGAATGGGAATGGAGGACGGAATGGGATGGGAATGGAAATGGGAATGGAGACGGGATTGGGAACAGGATCAGGAATGGGAACAGGAATCCTGCATTTCTGGAACTCCAATCCCAGGAAATCCCCGATTTTCCCGACCCCAGGAATTCCCGTTTTTCCAAACTCCCATCCCAGTGACCGAACCGAACCCTCCCGGTCCCACACCAACCTGGCCCCGCAGCGCCGGGATCACCCTTCCCGTCCCCAGCAGTGTCTCCTCCCTACGGGAACAACCC